CTCACACTACCTGATTTCAGAACCTATTATACCGCCACGGTAGTCAAAACAGCCTGGTACTGGTACAACAACAGATACATAGACCAATGGAAGAGAACTGAGAATCCAGACATAAATTCATCCACCTATGAGCAGCTGATATTTGACAGAGGCCCAAAGTCTGTTAATTGGGGAGAAGACACTCTCTTTAACAAATGCCACTGGCATAACTGGATACCCATCTGCAAAAAACTGAAACAAGACCCATACCTCACACCATGCACAAAAACTAACCCAAAAAGGATCAAAGACCTAAATAAAAAATCAAAAACGGTAACAATCATGGAAGAAAAACTAGGGACAATGCTACAAGCCTAATACATGGCACAAACACAATACGAACCATAAGTAACAACGCACAAGCACCAGAACAGAGACCAGATAAATGGAGCTCCTAAAAATCAAACACTTATGCTCATCAAAAGACTTTAGCAAAAGAGTAAAAAGACAACCTACAGACTGGGAAAAAAATTTTGACTACCACAAAGCCAATCAGCATAATGCAAAACCTCAACAACAAAAAGACAAATAACCCAATTAAAAAACGGGCGAAGGATATGACAGGCACTTCACCAAAGAAGATATTCGGGCAGCTAACAGACACATGAAGAAATGCTCACGATCATTAGCAATCAGAGAAATGCAGATCAAAACTACAATCAGAGATCATCTCACCCCAACAAGGCTAGCATTAATCAAAAAAACACAAAATAATAAATGCTGGAGAGGTTGTAGGGAGACTTGAACACTTACACACTGCTGGTGGGAATGTAAAATGGTACAAACACTTTGGAAATCGATTTGGCGATTCCTTAAAAAGCTAGAAATAGAAATACCATACAATCTAGCTATCCCGCTCCTTGGAATATATCCTAGAGAAATAAGAGCCATCACACGAATAGACATATGCACACCCATGTTCACTGCAGCACTGTTCACAATAGCAAAAACATGGAAACAACCTACGTGCCCATCAATGGACAAATGGATGAACAAATTATGGTATATCCACACAGAAGGACAAATATTGTATAAGACCACTATTATAAGAACTCAAGAAAAGGTTTTAAACACAGAAGAAAACATTCTTTGATGGTTACAAGGGTGGGGAGGGAGGGGGAAGTTTATTTACTCACTAGACAGTAGATTAAGAATTATCTTAGGTGAAGGGAAGGACAGCACTCACTACAGGGGAAGTCAGCACAATGGGACTAAACCAAAGCTAAGAAGTTTCGTAAATACAATCAAACACTTTGAGAGACAGAGTAGCAGGGGTAGGGGTCTGGGGACCATGCTTTCAGGAGACATCTAGGTCAACTGCCATAACAAAGCTTATTAAGAAAATGTTCTGCATCCTACTTTGGTGAGTGGCACCTGGGGTCTTAAAAGCTTGCAAGCAGCCATCTAAGATGCATCAATTAGTCCCAACCACCTGGAGCAGATGAGAATGTAGAACACCAAATACACAAGGAAAGTAGCAGCCCAAGAGACAGAAAGGGCCACAAAAACCAGAGACTTCATCAGCCTGAGACCAGAAGAACTAGATGGTGCCTGGCTACCACCAATGGCCGCCCTGACAGGGAACACAACAGTCCTGGATGGAGCAGGAGAAAGGTGGGGTGCAGAACTCAAATTCTAGTAAGAACCAGACTTAATGGTACCCGGAAAGCATGGCCCCTGGATTCTCTATCACCCCCAAACTAAAACAATTTCTGAGGCCAACTCTTCAGACAGGGACTGGACTGGACTGTGGGACATAAAGTGATACTCATGAGGAATGTGCCTCTTAGTTCAAGTAGATACAAGAGACTGAATGGGCAGCTTCTGTCAGGAGGTGAGATGGGAAGGCAGACAGGGTTAGAAGCTGGTTGAATGGACATGGGGAATCAGGGGTGGAAAAGAGGAGAACAATTAGAGTCACATAACAATGTATGTATAAATTTTTGTATGGGAAAAAATAGAGTAGATCTATGCCAGCTGACTTGCCAGAGATTTCCAATAGGTGTGCTGTGCAGTAAGAAAAGAAAAAATGTTTATAATGCAATCCCACAGTAAATGTATTAGTACATACTTTTATGTCTGCACAAAATCATATAAGCACAATAAAAATGCGGAAATATACATACTACGTTTTTAACATGGTTAGCGGGGGTTTGTAAGAAGAACATCAAAAAAAGGAGAGTGACTAGCAAAAAGAGTAAAAGAACTGGTTCGGCCTGGTTCAGTCATGTTCAATGAAATGAAACCTGAACAGACCCCAATTTTTAAAATGTGGGTGAACTGGAGCGGGAAAAACTATGAGTCAAAGCCCTGCTAGAAACGTCATATTCCTCTCAGAAAGAAAGGGCAGTGTGTATGTTGCACAGCAGAGTTGGAAGCAGCGCTGCCCCGCTCAAAGAGAGTGGCTGATCGCGCAGCTCTGAATGGGTGTCACTCTCCACAGTCCTGGCAATAATCCAATCTCCGGCATCAGGCTCCTGAAAAAGCTCACTACGCCTCTACCGAGTCTCCCATTCCAGGGCTTTGACCCTTAACTTTTCCCATTCCAGTTACAGTTCCGCATCACCCAAATTTTAGAAATTTGGGTCTGTTCCAATTTTGCTTCTTCGGCCATGAATGAACCCGTTTGAAGTCCTGGTATATACAATATAATCGTATTTATTCATCAAGTAAAATCATAGGTGTAGGGATAAGAAGAGAAATTAAATTTCAAAGAAAAAAAGACCAAGACTGTCTTTTATACTCACATGTGCATCTGAAGATCCCGAAGAATGAACATCTGATGATCTTGTCTGCAAGTATTAAAAATAAAGCAACATTTAAATGATCAGAAAACGTCTTATTATGTTAATAAAATAGTATTTCTCATGTTATACAGACAATCTTTCCAAACTTGTAGTAATTTCTTCTAACTAAATAAAACTGAACACAGGCAATCTCTTACTTACCAAAAGGTTGTGATCCAAAATAAAAGTGCAAGTTAATCCTTTAAAATTCAGAATGCATACTTTCCAAAATACGATATAAATGCTAGTGGCGTATAACTGAGGCACATTTATCTTTTTATAGTGTGGACTGGAAATTTAACCACTAGTTTACAACAGAATTTTTGTGCAAAAGCTCTTCTCAAGCCATAAGATATACTGTTTACTGCCACAATACTGCCACAAGCAGCAATCTCTCATTATGCAGCAAAAAAAAAAAAAAAAAAAAAGTCTCTTCTCCTTTCTCCAATCAACCAAAGCCTCACAGGAAACAGATTCTAGTAGCAAGAAAATTCACACAGAAACCCTTGCACCTAGTAAGGGGTACAAATTCTACTTCAGAAATAGTACAAGAAAAAGAAAATCCTATTATCAAATTCCCCAATAGGCTACCATGTACAACTTGTTTTTAGTGGCTGCTTCTACTTCAGCATACCACAGCCTGGCTGGCTGTACGAGAAGAGTTTGGTCTTCAAATAACGGCACTTTCCAAGAATGTCAACTGCTACAATCTGATCTTATTTTTTCTTAATTGATCTGCATTTCAGATTACATATGGTATACAATAATTTGTTTTTTCACTATGCATCTAAGGAAAAAGAAGTCAAGCTGAAAGGCTATTAACTAAAACATAGGTGGTAACTTTCTGAATTTTTTAGAGGCCCAGAATTAAACTTTGTTGCTGAGCTGTTTTTATTTTTGAAGGTACTGCACAGTAAGATTTCACTTATCTTCATTTATATTTAAGTGTTAAAAGTAGTAACAAGGATCTTGAAATCACAAAGATTTCAACTGACCCTAGCTCCCAGTTCCAAATTTCAAACAAAATGCACAAGACATTACATTAATTTTCAAGAGAAAGTTGAAGATTTGTATATGTTATAGAAAACGGTAAATATAAGATGATTTCATATGGGTCTATCTCTTGTCTAAACATAAGGCTAGAAACAGCTGGTCAGATGATCATACTGAATCAATTTACTCCTCTGAAATCCACTGCACTGAGGCCAAGGCAAAATCAGCCCAAGAAAACCAAGAAAACCTCCCACCCCATTCTTTCTGTCCATCTTTTTTCTCCTAACTTTTCCTGTGTCCCCATCATTTACTTTCTCCCCCAGCTAACCTTTCTTGAAAGGTAAACTGGTATAGAAGAAATTCTTTACGATATTTAAACTTTGAAACACACTTTGAAATGCATCCAGTTGCAGGTACTCAGAACTCAGAAAATCCAAGAGAATAAAGCTTATCAACACTTTTATTGTACTGAAATGATTCCCAATTCTTGACCTTCAATCTTAGTTCCAGTTCCTGGGCTCCAATCTATTCTTAAATGGACTGGATGCCTCCTGGCCATCTTAACTTAAAATCCTTCTCAAATTAGCCTCTCATCTAAACCTTCTCATTTCTGACACTGGGGTGGAACTCTCACTCACTCAACCTGGAAATACTATAATGTTAAGAGCACAAGCTCTGGAGCCAGACTTCCTGGGTGTGAAAGTTGATTTTAGCATTTACTAGCTTTGTAACCTTGGGCCTAGTTTCCTAGTCTGCAGAACTGAATAGAACCTGCCTCAGGACTGTTACGAAGGGCACATACAGGAGAACCCCTTAGAACATACTAACTGGTCAATAAGTGTTAGCCAATAGCAGCATTATAACAAGGTCATCCTGGACTGCTTCCAATTCCTTCTTTACTCCCATAACCAACTGATATGTAGTCACATCCCGTCCATCCCACCCACCTCTAACAAAGCTCTTCCATGAGGGCTCTTCTTTATACAGACACCATTGTGATTCAGATCTTTCCTTTATTCAACCATTTACTTAGCAACTCTTATGAGGCTGGTGCTGTACCTTGCATTGGAACATAAAGTAAAACAAGACATATCCTCCATCCTTAGTTAGGAACTAATCAAAGGGACACAAACAAAACCAGGTGGCTTGTCACAAGAGCACAGAAGGGCAGGCAAATCATAACGGAGGTAAGGGATGTTAGGAAAAGCCTCCCAGAAGAGAATCTTCAGTGAGATTTTTAAGCAATCCTCAATGTTTATATTAACTGCACCACTACAATAATCTCCAGACCGGTTCTCCTCACCTCTAAATCCTTCCTAAACTATGCACCCAGAACAACCTTTCCTAATGGACTTTTCTGACCAAATTTTCCAGGGCTCTCTAATTTTATTCCCTAGCATTCAAACCCCTCAATTTGGCGCCCACTTAACCTTCCAGTCTCAGCTCCTTTTTTCCTCATGCAAGTACCCTATGCACTAGATAAACCAAATTATTTACAAATCCATTTTCCAGAAATTTATATTTCCTCACCTCATTCGTCTCTTTTTTAGAACCCTGTATCTACCCTTCCCCTGGTGGTGCAAGGGTTAAAGCACTCAGCTGCTATCCGAAAGGTTGGTGGTTGGAACCTACCAGACCTGCTCCACGGGAGAAAAGACAAGGTGATCTGCTCCCATAAAGATTACAGCCTAGGAAACCTTAGGGGGCAGTTCTACTCTGTCCTATAAGGTTGCTATGAGTCAGAATCAACTCTATGGCACACAATAACAACCTATCTACCCTTCACAACCCTACTTGTTGTTCAAAAGACCCAATCAATTAAAATCCACTACACTCTTGAAGCCTTTTCCATGCTCCATTCAACCAGCTTTTACTTGTTTCTCTAACTTCTGGAGACTTCTGATTTGTTGCTGGAATTTACCCAGGGACTCCAGAAGGAACTGCAGAGGTTATCTAATTTGATCTCTTTATTTTATAATTAAAAGATGTTAAGTGATTTTGCCATTGCCAACAGTAAAAAACTTATATGTTCTACAGTTTAACATTAACCTTTTCCTTAACGTCCAGAAGTATAATTAACAAATCAAGGGGAATTTAACTACCAAAGAAGCAGAATAAGCATGAAACAAAAGAATCTGTTCATTCCATCTGTACTGTAGAATATGTCATTCATCTACTCTCCCCAGATAAAGGGAAATCAAACCAGAGATCAAAAGCTAGAAATTCCAAATACCGTATGTAGTATTAGCCAAAACGATCTTTGACTCTCTCCAATAAATTCTGGATTTGTGTTCCAAATAAAAAGCAACAGTATGGATGTCATTTTGACAGCTGATGACTTAAGATTCTATATCTCAGGATTAAAATTTTTCCTGACATTTTGAGAACGACTTTTTATTTCCTCTAAGAACAAAAAAGAGGGGAAAGGAGCTAAGATTTGTTACATTTGTAAGATTTATTAATGTTACAGACATTAACTCATCTAATCCTCACATCAACCCTGTAAAAAAAAAAAAAGGACTATATCCATACTGTACCATATTACAAGAGAAATCTGAATCTCAAGAGTTTAAGCAATTTGCCTTAATATCACAAATCTAGCTAGTTACCACGTCAGAATTTAAATCCAAAACTCTTTTATCATCAAACTCCATAATCTTTCCAATACATCGTGCCTCCATATTAATGAAGGAGACCTGGTGGCGCAATGGTTAAGCACTTGGCTGCTCACCAAAAGGCTGGTGGTTAAAACGCAAACCCACTGCCATCGAGTCAATTCTGACTCACAGCGACCCTATAGGACAGAGTAGAACTGCCCCATAGGGTTTCCAAGGAGCGCCTGGTAAATCTGAACTGCTGACCTTTTGATGAGCAGCCAAATGCTTAACCACTACGACACCAGGGTTTCCCCGTAAAGGAAACACTACAAGAAAGTTCTATTCCATCCTACAGGGTTGTTATGAGTCAGAATCAACCCGATGGCACACAACAACAACAACCATATTAATAGGGAAAATCATGTCAACATCATTTGAGTACTGAGATATCGACCATTTTACAGGCATTGATAAAACTCTATAAACAGCATCAACAGATGATAAGCTAAAGCAATATAAACTGAAAAAGGTTTTATTACTGGAATACTCAATAACTTACAGGGAACAGCCAAACACAACCCTGGGAAGGAAGCCTGAACATATACACTGAAATGTTTTTAACGTATCCAAGGCCTCAAGTAAGAGACACTTAAAATATTACTTTGACAAGAAATAAAAAACTGTGAAACTTATGCATGAAAGATTATTATGGATACAGCTAGCTTTGGTATTTTCAATCGCCTCACATGAATGCAAAAGCTGGACAATGAATAAGGAAGACTGGAAAAAGAATTGATGCTTTTGAATTATGGTGTTGGTGAAGAATATTGAGTAAGTCAGGGACTGCCAGAAGAACGAACAAGTATGTCTTGCAAGAAATACAGCCAGAATGCTCCTTAGAAGCAAGGATGTTGAGATTTCATCTCACATACTTTGGATGTGGTATCAGAAGAGACCAGTCCCTGTAGAAGGACAATATGCTTGGTAGAGGGTCAGCGAAAGAAAGAAAGACTCTCAACAAGATGGACTGATACAGCAGCTGCGATAATGGGCTCAAACACAGCAACAATTGTGAGGATGCTGCAGGACCAAGCAGTGTTTCCTTCTGTTGTGCATGGGGTTGCTATGAATCGGAACCGATTTGATGGCACCTAAAACAACAGCAGCTAGCTTTACTTTACTGAAGGCTCCCTAATAGTAAATGAAGCTGTTTTTATCATGAGTCTGTGGAGGGGAAGAGTGGGCAAAGAGTGAGGTACCCACCTGTTTCTCTCCCTCAAGGCAAGGGAAGTGTACTGGGGAGAGGAGGAACTGACATTGGGTTCCTTGATGTAACGCACCCAAAACTGGCCTTCTACCACAGTTTTTACATAACTAAAGGTTGACTGGTAATGTCATTACCTCACCAAATGGCGTAAAAATTCACATTAAAAACTGTGAAACCAAGTATAAAACGGGTTATGTTTCTCAGAACAACTGTAAACGAAAACGTAAACCTGTTAACCGACTTACAACTACACACTCTTAAGATGTAACAGTCTCCAGAACTTCTAAGAGTTACACAACTACTTGCATCAGCATCAAAATGCTTAACTACTTCGTGTCAGTGCATACCTATTTCTTTTAATATGTTTCCAGATGAGAAACTCAAAGCAAAAAAACAATTAAATGACCTACCCAATCTAGCAACTAGGATCCGATACTAACCACAACCTTACTAATGACAAACTACAGCTCGCTGGTTTCACAGTACCTGCACACGGTTCCTGTAAAACCAAATGCAACTTACTAATCTTAGATGGCTTCCAAGTCTACGGAAGTTCTCCTTTCAGTAGAACACACAACATGGACATGAAAAAGACCCCAAACCCTTGACCCTCAAAAGAAGTGCTCATTTTATAATTCCTCTAAAGTGAGATAAAGACCACGTGTAGAGTGTAGCATTAACCTTGGCGGTGCAGCCCTGCAAAGAAAAGGTGCTCCCGCCTCTGCACTTCCCACCCGCGTCCCTCCACTATTAGTCCTCCCTTCACCACTTGCGGCCCTAGAAATTATTTATTCTCTGGAGGACGTGAGGGAAATGAGGAAGGCCAAAAGAACGTGAGCTAAAGAACCTAAGAAAAAGAGGCGCAGGCACAAGCCCCAGGAAGCGATTCCCGCCTCTCCCATGCGTTGTCCGGCGGCCTCAGACTCAAAAAGCCGAGACACAGAGGCGCGTTTTCACAGCTCTCGGACCTCACTCTGAATTCCTGATTTTACTCCAGTGCCAAGCGCGGGCCAAAGAACTCACGCCATCCCCCCGGGCCCGCCAGTGTCGAGCTGAATCCAGGCTGGAACTAAGAGGCGATACCAGGCCTCTCAACATGCGCACCACGGTGCGGCGGCGCCACGGCCTACCATCATGACCAGAACGCACACCCTCAACCCGCTCGCCTCCCGCTGACCAGAATTGTCTGTAGGCCCCAGACGACAGTGACAGAGCCACTGACTTACGAAGTCCTCTAAGAAATTACCTTTGAGCTGGCCTTCTGAGAGCCGCCTGGCGTTTTGTCCGCCATCTTGAGCTTTGCCCCTCCTTCGGCGGCGGCAGCAGCACAGGAGAGTCGAGCACCGAAAGAGCAGATCTCAGCGGAGCCCGCCTGAGGCGCCTGCAAGGCTGAGTAGTCGACTGACGAGGTAGTGAGTTCAGGCGGGGCCTGGCCACATGACTTCCGGTGTCAGTAATTCCACTGGTTGGTCTCGTTGTCTCAGGGAGTCTTAGAGTCGTTGTGCTGCTGAATTTGGGAGCGAATCTCCTTGTTCTGACTTTCAGGCCCAACTGATATCACGCACTCCTTTCCCAGAGCTAACCCTCAATAGGTGCGAGCCGGTTGTATATCCTGGGCGAGGAGGGAGCCGCTCCTTAAAGGAGAAATGCACTGACCATCTGGGAGGAGCATTCCCTTAACTCAAAATTAGGTCTGAAGCCAACTGGGAGTCTGGCGCTCGGTGAACAAAGACGGTGTTCGCGCCTCCTCGGAAGCTCACACTCAGCTGGGAAAGACAAACTTGGAATCTGCTCACGATTCTTTAAAATGGCCAATGTTGAGATAGAGTTGTGCCTGGAAAGCCCAGAAGAGGGGCATTTGACCCACTTGGGGAATCCGGTAGTACGGTTACCTGGTAGACAGACTGTTTAGGGCGTCTGCAAAATGGACACGCGCAGAGAGAGGATGAACGAGAACAAGTATTCTAAATCCAGCATACTTGTAAATTTTCTGTCGTTTAAAATTACATTTTACTTTTCAGTATTGTTTTCATTTTATTCACATAAATGGAAGAGTGCTGTAAAATTTTTTTTTACGACTTTTTAAAAGTTCTTAATCAGGATCTGGATTCACAGAAGGAAGGCTTGCTTGAGAAGGTCATGCCTGGAACGGAGCCAGGCAAGGCAAGTGGGAAAGACATTCCAAGCCGCGAGAGCAGTTGAAATAAAAGCCCTGTGGCATGAATGAGTACAGCCCGTTGTGCAGGGCACCACAAGCAGTCGAGTTTTATTCGACCAAGAGGTGTAGGGCAACCTGGCTGAAGAGGTGGATGGGAGCTAGTTCACACAGGATCCCGAGGTAGCCATACAGGAGCTGTATATTAGGAGTTAGAATTATATTCTGAGGATGAAGAGTGGCCCTCATTAGGGTTAAGTGGGGCTATGATATGGTCAGATTTTCATTTTCAAAGATTGCTCAGAAGACAGTGGAAGACATTTAAGTCAGGAAAACCAACTTAAAATATTAGGGGTGCAGGAGAATTGGAGGAGATAGGGAACTGAGTTCCCTAATTCATTTACTCAAAAAATTTTTGAGCCTTGTTTTGTGTACAAAACCCTGTGCAAAGTGTTGTGGGGCTTACAGAGACAACTAAAAATGTACTGTCTTCACTAGATTTAAAACTAATAAAAACCGACAGTAACATTATACTCAATGGTGAAAGACTGAAAGCTTTTCCCCTAAGATAGGGAACAAGACAAGGATTCCTGCTCTCACCACTGCTGTTCAACATTGTAGTGGACATCTTAGTGCGGTGCAGTGAATTACTTAATGTGGCCCTTCCAGCCATAGTTCGTGACTCCCACACAGTGATTGAGTGGGACTATGCAAATAGGGTATATGGAACCAGTAACGGTTAAGGTTATGTGTCACCTTGGCTGGGCCATGATTATCAGAGATTTGGCAGTTATGCAGCGATGTAATTTGGCAGCTATGTAATGATGTAGTCATCCTCCATTTTGTGATCTGATATAATTATCCTGCACTTTGTGATGTGTTGTATATCCTAGCCTTTATGCCTGTGGTTATAGTCCCACTTGGAAGTGAGTTGTCTGTTGTGTTAATGAAGCAGGATTAAGGTGAGATGTATCTTGAGTCACCACCTTACTGGAGGGTGTGACTACCCAGACACCACCCTTATTCAAATCATGCCCTTACTTGAGTCACACCTTTTATCTTATAAGAGATAAAAGGTGAGAAAAGTGAGCAGAGAGTGGGGGACCCCCCTACCACCAAGAAGAAGAGCTAAGAGTGGAGCATGTCCTTTGGACCCGGGATCCCTGTTACAGAGAGCTGTACCACCAGACATGGTGCAAGACAGCGAGAAGCGGCAGCAAGCGCAGCAGAAAACTGGCAGCAGCAGAACCAGGAGAGCAGCGCCAGACAGCTTCCGAGCCCCCAGAGCAAGGTGACTACTGTGGGTGTGCCAACCCATGGAGTGACAGAGCTGAGCACCTTCAGGCAGGAGGCTTCCTGATGAGTAGGGTGCCTCCAGGCACTTGTCAGCAGAGCTAGACTTACAGACCCACAGAGGAAGAGAGCTGAGTGCCTTTGGGCCAAGGCGTACTGGCAAAGTGGGATGCCCCAGGGCACTTATTGGCAGAGCTAAAGAGATTTGTAACACTTGCCCGAGCAGGGCAGAAGACAGGCTGAGGAGCCAAGGGCCAGAGAGAGACCTGCCTGTGCATGGCTGAGAAGAGGCTGTCCTCATCAAAGAACTGTATCCTGAGTCATTTCTGAACCTGAATTGTAACCTGCTACTTCCCTAATAAACCCCATCATTGTGAGTATTGTCTGTGAGTTCTGTATGGCCATTACAACAAATTATCGAACCCAGCAGAAAAGGTAGAGAGTGCCATGGGAGGGATGGCTGGTGTTAGAATTGCTAAAAAGGTTGGAGAGAGGAGGTATGTCTGACCTTCTCATAGGAATCAGCCTTGGTCTGTTGTTGCTGATAATGATTCTCCCCCTCGTGAAGTTAGACAAGGAGGTCTCACGCTGCCACCAAGCCATTTTTATACCTAGACAGAGCAATGAAGGCAAGAAAAAGAAAGAAAAGGCATCCCAGTTGGAAAAGAAAAAGTAAAACCATCTCTATTCACAGATGATATAGTCTATAACAAATCTCAAAGACTCCACAAGTTGCAATAGCATTTAAAGTTTACAACAACATCTAAAAGAATAAAATACCTAGGAATGAATTTAACCAAGGAAGTGAAAGGCTTGTACTCTGAAAACTATAAAACATTGCTGAAAAAATTTAAAGGAGACCTAAATTAGTAGAAAGACATCCTTTGTTCATGGACTGGAAGACTTACTATAGTTAAGATGACAATATTACCCAAGGCAATTTACAGGTTCAATGCAATCGCCATCAAAATTCCAATGGCCAGACTTCCAGGCAACATGGAGCTATAGTCAGAAGCACCACGCCGTCCCTCTGCAACAAACATCAGAAAGACTAAGTCAAACAGAGTCACACATCAGTCCTGAAACCCTAAGCATCAAATGAAGAGATAAAGAACTCAGCCAAGCACAGAATAAAATAAGAAACTGACGGAGAACATAGAGCAAGGAGAGATACATGCAGAGGTCCCCTATCAGCTACTGCAGCACAGACCCGCCATCTTGGACTCCTATCAGAGATCAGCGAACAGGGGGTACAAGAAAGCAGCTTCACAGAGCTTCCAGCAGGAGACAGAACAACCAGTAACCAGCGATACATGCCTTCCCACCCCCCACCCTTCTTCACTACGACTTAGCTTCCTCTGTTTCCTGCAGCCACAGTCTCTTGGCCTGGAAGCACCAGCTTCACCCCAGTGTCTCTTGGATTCCACCCGCCCACACTGGCCGGCTCCCTGAGTGCCTATTGTTGGCTGCTGGTGTTGCTTTTTTCCACTTCTTTAGACTTCTTCCTTACCTCTCACCACCTCCCCATCCTTTCTCTCAAATACCTGGCTCCGTGTGCCATCTTTGCTTCTTCCTGAAAGGCTGCAAAACGCTGCTCGACTGTGAAACCGCTTCCCGGCCTGTGCCGCCACACTGGTGGGACCCTCAGGGCTTTTTAGTTTGTTTGCTCTGATTTGTTTGTTTGTTTTCTTTTTCTTTTCTCAGCTTGGGAACCCCTTCTAGTCAGGCAGTACCATGTGGCTTGGAAGCTACCCCCTTATTCTGCACGGATGCACAGGGACATCCCTGGGGGCATTTCTTTTTTCTTGTTTTTTTTTTTCTTTTTTTTTGGTTTTGGGTTTTTTTTGTTTGTTTGTTTGTTTTGTTTTCTTCTATCTCTGATTCCCTTTTTGTATTTCTTCATTTCCAGTTTCTCGATTTATTCATTTTTTTTCTTTTACCCTTTTTCTTTCCTTTTCATTTTTGTTTTTCCCCATTTCTCAGTCTCTCGTCTCTCCACTCCAATAACAAGCTCTCTTAGCACTCTTTTTTGTTTGTTTGTTTTTGGCTCCTGTTCCTCTCCTCTCTCTCCTCTTTTCCATACCCATCTTAGCTCCACACATCACAATCTACCCTCTCCTTCCTGCCTTCCTGCACCATGCACAGAACATCACACAAGCAGCACACAGGCACGGCCTACTGGAACTTGCCCTGCTCTGATTTCTGGTCTGCACTGTCAGCCCTGGTACATGCCACAAATAACCCATCCCAGCAACTCCCCTTCAGCTGGACCTGCCCTGCTGTACCATACCTGAGTGACTGACCCTGCCCATTGGAGAAGGAGGTGAAAAGTATTGTGCCTCCATATGAGCAAACAACAAAGAACGCACAGCCCACCTGCTCAGACGTAACCAAATAAAACAAAAAAGCAGGACAAAACAAACAAATCTATAATCAATAAATGAGGAAAATAACCACTGAATGCCCTGAAGACAGCAGACAATATCAAAACAATTACAAAAACAAGACAGGATGGTTCCAGTAGGTGTCCAAAATAAAACACCAGATGACTTTCCAGTAGAAGAAAAAGTACTAGACCTAACTGATAGGGAATTCAAATCCCTAATATTCAGAATTATCCAAGAGTTGAAGCAAAAAGGAGATAAAAATGAGGAAAAAATAGACAAATTCACGGAAAAGGCAAACATTCGTGGAAAATACAGACAAAAAATGGAAGAATTCAAGAAAATAATACAGGAACAAAATGCTAAAATAAATTAACAACTAGAAATCGTACAAAAACAACAATTAGAAATCCAAAAGGTAAACAACAAGATTTCAGAAATGGACAGTGGCATAGAAGGGCTGAGAAGCAGGTTTGAAACGATGGAAGATAGGATCAGCGAAATTGAAGACAAACACTTGGTTACAACTCTGAGGAAAAATCAGA